CAAAGGTAGAGCATCATGTCACATTACAGCTGCTTGGACAGTGTTCATCATCAATCAGAATATACAGAATCAGTTTACAGATTTAGTTCATTTTTAATCATTATACTCACAAACTAGAGTAAAAATCTAAGTTTTTAAAATACATTTTCTTTAGAATTTTATAATTACAGGAATTCGTTGTATATTTCAATGTCTAATGGAAAATTATGTTTAAAATCTGTAACTGTCAATGCCCATAAAACTTTATGTGCAAAAAACAAAAATCACACAAATAGATGTTAAAATGCATTCGCAAATGTTTTCTAATCTTACAAATATTTTTTTTAAAAATGGAACTGATGAAATTTAAGTTTAAAACTACAAATATATTTGTAGAGTAGATAAAGTTAGAAATCTGTAAGTTTTAAGAAAATTTCTTTGAAATTTTGTTTGTAAGTTTTTTTCTGATTCTCTGTTTTTGAAGTCCACCAAAATATGGATCAAATGATGAGAATTCACCGTTTATTACCATGTCTAATGGAAAATAGTGTTTAAATCCTGTAATTGTCAATGTCCATCATATTTCGTGTGAAAAAAAATCCCATAAACAGATTGTTAAAATGCATTCGCAAGTGTTTGATCATTTTACAAATATTTTGTTTTTTTCAAATGAAACTGATCAAATTTCAGTTTGATGCTGCATATGTGTGTAAAATTAGGTACAATTAGTCAACATGAACAGAAAATCAGGTATTGGCTCTGTAATCTGACATATATTTGATTAATAAATAAGATCTTGTATAATTACAGACGTGTTCACAACAAAATGAAGATTTCTGATGAGGTTGCGATGATACAAACAGATGATCTGATGCTGTTCAAAAATACACTTTACAACAAATTGACATTATTTTGTATTTTTCTTACAGAACAAGACAGGACTCAAATAACAAAGAGAAGGGCCAGTCCTGACCTGCAGAGCAAAAGAAAAAGAGAAAACAGCCGTGACAGAGAGGGACCATCAGCAGAGCTGAAGAAGAGGAGACTCCTGAACGTTTTCCACATAAATCAAGAGTCTCCGTCCACCTCCACAGTCACGAGCAAAGGTAGAGCATCATGTCACAT